CTGCTGAGCAGATCTCTGTTCGGCTGAAAGAACATCTTTTAGATAAACAATTAATAAACATAAAAACCGAAAGAAGAACTGAAGCCTCTTCTCGTCCTTCGATACGTGGGCTGTCCCAAGGCCACTCCGGGCCTTTCCAGGCCCCTCAAACAGCCGAGAAAAACCGACACTTGTGGAAAAAAAATTCCCATTAAAAGCACCAAGCTCGTTTTGCAGCCATTGCAAATCCTGACCTGATGCCAAAGCAGAGCAGCTGGCCCGGGGGGCGGCTCTGCCCTTGCCGCTCCTCTCGCAGGACGCCCGGCAGGCGGAGTCTGAGGACTCTCCCGAGGAGCTGCGCCCGTAGGAGGCAGCGCTGGCTCTGTGGCTGCTGCCACAGGCAGCTCTGCTTGAGGTAGGCTCAGCAAAAGCTTCTTCCTGCTCAGCTTCAAGTTTGGCCTGAGACTTGAGTGGCTTCTGCTTCAGATTTCTACACAGTGAAAGCAGGAGAGAGAAGACAATAAGGTTTAATTTGTTTTTTTATTTCTGGGAGGGTTTTATGAGCTAATGTGGTGTGGGACAGTTTTACCTCTGGAAAGGATAAACATGAACATTTACTAAACATTAAAAATATTTACTTTGATGAAATAACAGTCTGCACTCCTTGGGCAGTCACACAAGAGGAGACAACCTTTGTCTGCTCTGAGAAACAGAATTTAATGGTGGATGTCCCCCAGACAATTCGTGTTCTCTCATTTCCACTGCAGCAGCCTCAGGTCCTGCTGGACTCCCAGCCTCTGGTTAGGTGCACATGAGCCTCCAACTAAATGCTATACAGGCAAATTATTATTATTATTATTATTATTATTATTATTATTATTATTATTATTATTATTATTATTATTATTATTATTATTATTGTTATCGTTATCGTTATCGTTATCATTATCATTATCATTATTTATTATTATTGTCATTGTTACTGTTATTATTGTTATTGTTATTATTGTTATTATTCCAAATAAACCAAGTTCCCAACACACACAGAAGGTGGAACCCTACAGTTCACTGTTTAAAATAAAGAAAATTTCACTAAACTGATCCTTCCTTACCTCCACATCCTGAGTGCTGCCTGCAATCCTGCTCAATCCATTCTTTTCACCCACAGAACTGTTTTTTGTCAGTTTTTTCTTTACATTGCAGGTTTTCAGACACTCGTCCAGGTGCACAAGGTAATTTCTGTTATACCAAACCTCACTTCTGCTGTGCCCCACTGAACAGTCACACACAATTCTCCAGATGTAAGCACAAATGAGATTCAAAAGACAATTTCTGCCTGTCCTGGTGGGTGGTTATTTTAAAGTATAAAACTAATCCCCTGAAATTAGGTTTGGGGTATTTTAAATTAGGTTTGGGTTCTTTTTTTTTTAAATTAAAACACTTAGTCCTGCCCTTTCCCTGCCAGAGAAGGAAGACTGGACAGCAGCAGAAGGGTGAAGTTCAGTGTCAGTAATTTACCACATTTAGCTTTTGTATTTTGTTCCACATAAAATTAGGAAAATGAGTTAATCATGTCAAACAGAAATTGTGTCAAAAGCTTGGTTGCCTTCAAAAAAGAAAAGGCAAATCTGGCTCCTAACTGAAAGCTACAGCAAGTGAATTTCTAGAAATTCCACAGGACTGACTTTATTCTGTATGTAACAAAATATGTCATTTATGCAGATTTTCATATGTGTAATATATCCAGCAAGTAATCTTTGTTTCATTCCTCATTATTTTACTTCAATATTGATTTTCTGATTCAAATATTAAAGAAAAACCCAACCTTTTCTACTCTTCTGTCTCCAGGTATTTCTCAGTTTTATACTATAAAAAAGCCCCTGTTTTTTTAACATATTTTTCCTACTGCATGAAAATTATAAATAGTTTCACTGGGGTTATAAATCATTTAAAAAATCAATTGTTCACCTCTTCACAGACTAAATGTGAGAGTCAAAATGAGTATCAGTCAGCTGAGAGATCTTTGTACCTGCATGATTTGGTTACCTGAGCATTTTGGTGGGCTGCTGCCCTGAGCTTTGATTATTGAATCTTCTGCTGTACCTCTGGTTTCTCCTCAGCTTCTCATTCTGTTTCTGCCCATTTTTGAAATCTGAAACAATTCTTCGGATTTTCTCTTCAAACAGTGCTGACAATCTCAAGGTCATACTGTAAATCTGGGTAAGGAAGTGCTTTCTATTAAAAACAGAGCCTTTGATCCAAAACTAATATTTGTAATATTAAAAACAATAGGAAAAGCACAAGCAGTCCTGTGCAACACCAAATAAACAGGAAATTAACATATTAATTATTTTTATCCTATTTCTCCCCATTATCTACCAAACCAACAGTTTTATCAATACTGATTAACAAATTGCAAAATAAGATTTATTTCATTCAGAAACCCCCAGACAGTGACAGCTACCTTTGACTTTTTGTTTGGAGTATAAGATTTTGCATTGCTGAATATCAGTCTGATATCTTTGCACAGTTCCATTGGAGTGTCATAATTCCCAGCTTCCAGGGTTTCCTTCACTGTACCAAAATCCATTGGAGTGTCTATAATATGTCTGTAATCCTATTAAAAACATATGAAAAAAAAAATCTGTGAAAGTATAAAGGAAAAAAAAAATCTTTTGAATTTTATTTGTCATTTTGGAGTAGCTAAAATGACACAATTATCTTCAGCAGCAGTGAAAAAGGAAGCACCATAGCAGAAAGCAACACTTTTGCTGAGACAGTTTGATTTAAAATCTCCTTTTTCATTATTCCATGAATTTTACTGTGAGAAAACAGATCTGGCATAAAAAAACAGCAAAAAAAAAAAAAAAACCCAAAACACAATTACCACACAGAAAACCTCAAATCAAATCCCATCAAAACACCTCAATCTTTGTCTCCCATTTTTGTTTTTTTTTAGAGAACCTCACGATGTTTTTAAACCCTGAAGTGAGACTTAAAATATGGAGTCACCAGAAGTTATGTGCTGTAAAGAAGTTTTTCTCCTTTAGATTAATTCTGTTGGGTTTTTAGAGAAAAAAGAGATTGAGGGATGGTAAGATTACCATGAACAGCTAAAAAATCAAATTCATAGCTCAGGCTTAGGAAACAGATTTTAGACCTTGAAGATACTTATTTTAATTAAGAAAATACAGATTTTTTTCTAAAATAATCTCCTTACAAGGCACAGCAAGAAAAGAAGAATCTATTAAGGTTATCAAGCACAACTTACAGGATATTGATCCAAATCAACTGGCTGCCTGAAAGGTTCAGAATCCTCACACTGGAAAATTAAATTCACCAGTTCCATGCACTGCTTCTTCCAGCAGTTTTCATCATAGCCACTTTTCAGGTTTTTCCCTTTTTTTAAACCCCGTCCCTTGAGGGGGAAAAGAAATTAAGGAAATTAATTATTGGAATAGAGCAAGAAAAAATTCAACCTGATTTGGGTTATAAGGTAAAGATTGGCCAACTCACTTTTCTTCTTCTGTATGATGTTCTTGGAACACATTTTTCATCATCCTGCACAAAATAAAATCAATTATCTTAGAAGTGATGTAGGAAAAAAATAGGTGATGGAGGCTAAAAGTGTCATTAGATTTGAAACTGTGGTAAAATTATATTTTTTTCTTAATTCTGTCAAAAGATGAGGATGAAAAATACACCACAGCATCTGGGAGGTTTGGAAAGCAATATCCTAGATAAGGACAAGAGCTGGAGTCTGGAATCTTCAGTGGTTTCAGAAAAGGAAAAACCACCATGAGAAATTGCAATTAGAAGTTACTCAACAGGTTTGAATTCAGTCACTAAATATTACCAGCAATGAAATTCACTAATAAATGACATAAAATAATATATATATATATATATATATATATGACATATAATATAATGACATAAAACATTCATAAAAATTCCTAATATAGCCCATGTTTGTATTAGCTATGTAAATAACTCAGCAATTTTACTAACAATATTTGAAGGTTGTTGGTATTTTCTTACCACCATAAATTACTGAATTTTCCACAAAAAACCCACAACTTACCAGATCAGCATCATGACAATCTTGTTCATCATCTGTTGTGCTACATAATTCAAAAATATTTGTACAGTCCTGGTCACTGCAATGCAATTAAATCTCTGTTAGTGGAATAGCAAAAGCAGAGCTGTTGTTGTTTCCTAAATTAAACTCAGCCACAACCAAGTGCTCCATATTAAAGGGAAGACAGGACCTGAGCATTAAATGGAATATAAAAATCAGGATTAGGGATTTGAAAGGGGCCTGCCCAGCTGCAGGAAGGCTGCTCACACTCATTTCTAAATAAATGAGTTTATTTTATCCTCTCAGTTTCTTTTAACCTTTTAATTAAGTCAGACAAGCTCCAACAGGAAATTCTACACAGGACAGCACAGAAGTCACATTTTAGAGGATGAGCTATTTAACAAACTCAATCTCAAGTGACATTTTGGGACTGTAACACCAGAAAAAAAGGTAAAATGGCTCTTTGCTAAACATGCCAGTATTTAAGGTAACACTCAGAATTAGACCTGTCCTTCCTTTAAAGCAGGGCTCACCACACAGGGATCCTGAGCTGTTTTTACATTCCTCTCTTCAAAAGCACCAGGATTCAAGCATTATTCAGATTAAAATGTCACTTACTTGATAAACTTTAGCAGCTGGGTGGTGATTTTTTTTGCAGCTCTGGCAATAGCACTCCCAGGCTCATTGAAGGTTCTGGCATTGCTTTCAATGTATCTGACTTCCCAAACCAATGCTGAAATTCTCCTTCAAATTAGAAAATATTGCAACTTTAATACTACAGAAAAGCTTAAAACCAGCAAAAATTGTATCTCTGGAATTTTCTCTCCATATTAGATTTAGATGTCCTCTGTTTTATGGCCCTTTAGGGCAGTCTCAAACTTCTTCAATGGAAAACCCAAGGAAGCAGAACCAGCAATGAACATTTTTTATCCCTCATTTCCCAACTCATTATTAATAACTCATCCTTAGGCAATTTGATATAAATTCAGACATAAACTCAGTTAATTCAGCTGGCCAAGTAAGCACCAGCACTTGTTACCCCTAAATCACAAAATATCACAGAAATCATCCCAAGGACTGTGAATTTCCTGGATTCTTTAAAAACACAAGCATTTTTTAAAAGCTTACATTTGACTTATTCAAAAGAAGGGGGAAGAATATAATTTAATTACTACTCTAAATTATCACAATTCTTCTGGAAATATCAGAAGCTGCTTGTTACAAAGCCCTGAGAAATGGAACACAAGTTGAGACATATCTGGGGAACTTTTAATGCAAAACACAAACAATTAAAAAGGAGTGACAAGAGCTTTGTCCAATTACATTTTTAAGATATGATGTTTCTTTCTGTCTTCCCTTAAAGACCTTGCTTTGAGGCCAACTGACCACTGAAAACAGTGCCCCCTGTAAAATGACAGATGTAAAACCTTAAAAATAAGATTTGAGAAACTGCTACAAACTGAAATTATAACTTGGTAGAAACAAGCTGCCACAAACCTGTAATTTCATTTTTACAACTCATTTTCCCATTTCTTTATACCTGTGAAGCAGAGATACCCCAAATCTGCAGTTCTTCACCTATAGAACTTCTAATTATTTCACAAAACATTTTATCCATCTTATACAGGAGGAAAATCACTATTAATGCCTCTTCACTGTATTTACAGACACACTGAATGCAGGTCTAGATGAAGAATATACTTAGATAGATATTCAAGCTATGGCTGACCAGACATCCATCAAACCAGAGCTCTGTCATCGTTACAGAGGAGATTGTGGAGAGTTTTGTCAAAGGGTGGCTTGAGGAGAGGGGACACAGCCAAATTAATTTGGGAAAGATTTCTAACTAGGGCAGAGACAGGCAGAGGCCTTTTGTGTTTCTGTAGCAGGATAGAGAATGGAAAAGTACAAGACCATGGTTAGTTCCAAATCTTGCAGGTGTGAGATAATGTGTCCTTGATTCTCTCAAAACATGATAAAGAAATGGACAGTGAGGCAGGAGAGATAGAGAACGTAGTCTCAAAGGAATGTGGATGAGTTAATGCTAAAGTTTAAGCAATAGATTGCTTGGCTTACAGAATATTCATAAACTTATTATTTGCTGTATAAGTGTTTGATATTTGTTCAATAAAGTGGGCCATGATGAACCAACTGGTGTCCTGGTCTCCTTCCTCTGACAGAGATAGAGGAAAGACTTTTAAGTTTTTATCATTTAAAATGCTGCTGTTTATATTTAACATTTATATTTAACATTTATATTTAACATTTCCCCTCTTGCGTTTAAGCTCATTTCTGAAAACAGCAACAGCTTAACCTTCTTCATGTTCGTACCTCAAGGACAGCACTTCAAAATCTGAGTTTAAAGGAAGTGCAGGGAGTTTTTTCCCATGTGCTGGTTAGAAATGGGATTGCTCAGAGCAGGGTGTCAGGGTGGTGTCAGGAACTCAGCCTCACCTGTAGAAGCGGTTGGCCAGGCGGGTGCGGATGGTGGTCAGGTCCGTCGGGTACGCGACCACTGTGCAGTACTTGGGGTACGTGCACAGATCCACGGGGCCAGCAAAGGCTGCTGAGATGTCTGGTGAAAAACAGCAACAACAGCAACATTTTACTGTTTGACTTCATTTCTGGCCTTGCAGGGCCTGAAGGAGCTGAGAGGAAAGAGACAGTTTCCAAAGGATGGAGGGACAGAACAGGGAATGGCTTTAAACTGACAGAGAGCAGGGATGGATGGGATATTGGGAATTAGGAATTGTTCCCTGGCAGGGTGGGCAGGGCTGGGATGGAATTCCACCCCTGCATCCCTGGCAGTGCCCAAGGCCAGGCTGGATGCTGGGGCTTGGAGCAGCCTGGGACAGTGGGAGGTGTCCCTGGGACAGTGGGAGGTGTCCCTGCCACGGCAGGGGTGGGATGAAATGATTTTTAAGATTCTTTCCAACTCAATCCATTCCATGATTCTACAACTCTCCAGCCTTGGCTTCTCTTTTTAGAGAAATTGCACCTCTTCCTGCACTTTTTTGTGTTTTGCCTTTTTCTTCCTTCTCCTTTTGATTACCTCCCTAAACCTCTGGGAGGGAAAGCCTTGGTAACATTCTCATTTTGCTCCTTCATGGCACAACACACTGCCAAAGTTATAAAGCACTATGAGGGCACTTTTGGATTCAGCAAAGTCCATGATCCTCTTCCTGCTGATTCTTGGGATCATCCTTGATTTCTGCAATATGCCAGCACTCCACATCTCCCATTTCTGATGCCATTTCTGAGGACAATGCCCTAGAAAACTGTTTCATATCAAGATGTGGCTTTATATTTGGAGCTGAATAAGTATATTGAAAAGAAGAAAAATAAAAAGAAAAATCAAAGAGAGATTAATATTCCTGCCCATGGCAGGAACTGGGCTGGTTTTCAGGTTCCTCCCAACCCAAGCCATTCTGGGATTTTATTTCAAAGCCTGCAGGTCCCTGACCAATGAGATGGATGTTATAAAATCAACGGTACCAAATCAGAGATCTCAGTACAAACCCAAAGAACATTTTCTCATTAAAGTACTTTTATCAGAGGGGATTTTTAAGGGATGCCATGGATATTCCAGGCTGTCTATAAATGCACCATGAGGAGAAAAGCAGCTGAAGCTCAGCTGGCACTCACCAAGGGTCATGAGCTGGTCGATGCCGCGGATGATCCGCTCGCAGGCCTCGTCCCGCGACCGCAGCCCCCACTCCCCCTGCTGGGGCTTGTACAGGAGCTTCTCCACCTCCTCCAGGCTCACGGAGACACTCGCTCCCAGCTCCTCAGGCTGATCCACTGCACACAGCAACGGGCAAGCAGTGAGAACAAGATAAACTGTTCAGCATTCAGTTATTTAATAATTGTGTGCTTATAACTGACAAAAAATCCTTGCCTTGAAATAGAGCTTAATGCTAAGGCTGTGGGGAAAAATTATACAAAATGGATATTAACAGCAAAATGTTTAAAATTCTGTTTTTCTGCAGTTTTGAATTAAGTTTATTCCCTTTCTGACAGTTTATTCAGTAACTACTCCCTCAGTATCTCCCAAACTTTCCTCCCACTCCCAGCTGGTACTGACAAGTACTGGAAAAGTGAAATATTAAGACAAACCACAAATTCCACTCTTTTATTTACAGATAATCTGGATTTGACCAGCAAACTTTATAAATTGTTGGGTTTAAACTATGTGCAGTAAGGGTTTGCTGACTGGAAGTTATTTTATTTATTGTCTTCTTACATCTCCTTGTATTATGGTATACTACAACAAATTCATAGTTTGAAACTTGATACATTTTTTGAAACCTGCCATTTGGAAGTAGCAGGTTTTATTCTCTAAGTCAGAGCTACACATTTAAAGTACTTTTTTAAAAATTGCTCTGAAGATGCAAGAGGAAAAAATATAGGTATTTTCAAATTATTTCACTGAATCTGAATCAAGATTGTTTTTAAGACAGGAGTCATCTGCATGAAACAAAGAAACTGGAAAGAGAGAGAAGCATATCAAGCTTTATTTAAAAAACTTTATAAAACTTAATAAAATTAAGTTTTATTAAGGGGTTTTTACCTACCATTATCAGGGACTGGTTCCATGTCCCACGGGCTCAGCTTTTCAATTTCACCATTGTCCCATCTGTTCACCAAGTAAGAAAAATACAAAATTTACTTTTGACTCCAAACATATTTAAATCTTACCTATAAGCACACTTAAATTACATCAACTTGTAGGTATTGACAAAATACACTGTATCAACATGTACAGACACAAAGGCATTGGTCTGCAATCAGCAAAAAGGAAATACTCTTCCTGATCAACTTCAGATTAAAATTTGATTTTGATGCATACAACTTACCCAATACATAAATCAATTTTACAAAGCCTGTATCAAGAAGATGAAGAAAAATAAGCTGCACATTTGGAAAAGTGAGAAAATATCAAGGGGAAGATTTGAAAAAAAAAACCACAGGAGATTTTTTTTGCTGATCACAACAGGAGTTGTGGATGAAGGAAGAACAGGAAGTGAGACATTTCATGTTAGCACTTCCATTTATGAGGCAGAGGGCAGCAAGACAAAGGAAAGAATAAATATAAAATGAAGAAACTGAAGTTAATTAAGGTTCAAGAAAAACCAAAAGTAAGACAGGTGCTCTTGATGGACCTGGATATTCACTCTGAGACTGAACTGAGGTGTGAGATCATTCTGAGATCTCTCCAAATCCCACCACATTTGGGCAGATTTTTACATGTTTTTAAAAATACATAAAATACCAATACATTTTGCTATTTCCAAGGTAAGAAATGTCTGTCAGGATCAGCCTCACACCTCAGTGATGCAAACCCTGTACAGATGGAGTGCTGGATCCTTCCTACAGCTGGGTTAATCCTTTCTCTCCCTTTTTTATTTCTTATTACAAGCACATCCCAGAAATCAATAGATCACACTGCACTTCACCAATTTCCCTCCAGAGCTTTGCCAGCAGTTTCCTGTCAGAGCTCTCCAAATTCCTGGCTCTAATTCTGATGCATTAATAATCTCATTATTTGCTCCAAGGCCTCCTGTGCATTTATTTCAAACCAACTGCAATGATCATTCAGAGTGTTCTGTAACTGAACCCCTGCTCTGGCAAGGATCTCCATTGCTTTGGATTTCCCAATGCCCTGGAAAACCTGGATCATTCAGCCTGTTGGATTTTAGAGTCCTAAAGGTTGATCTGTTCAGTTCTCCTCCCCAGTTACTGTGCAATGCTTCACAAGTTGTGGATATGCACAAATGGATATATTAATTCATCATTTTATCAAGAGTTTAGTACAGCTTAAGCCCCACTTAGTTCTGCTTAAGTTCCACTCATCCAGGTAATGCAACTTCATAATAAATGAAGATGCTTCTACACAAACACCTAGTATTGTCTTGCCAATTAAAATCGCATAAAAATTAACATTATCTTAAAATAATTTCTTTTCCACACAACACTAACAGTGATAAACTGAAGTAAATGTGACAAAAAGAGCAACAGACTCAGAAAAGTCACAAAACTTAAATACAGCTGCCAAACACTCCAGGTATTTTCACAGACACATCCTAGGATTCTGCTCTAGAAGAGCCAGACAGAATAAAGCCCTTTTGGAAAAGGAATTTAAGGAACACAGCATTCCTTCCTTGAAAGCAGGTCTAGGCTTTTCTGGTAAAGGCTGATGCATTAAAATATTGCAATATCCTTTAGGTCTCACAGGAGAAAGGAGCTCAGGAAATTGGCACCAGGCTTTTGTTCATGACTGGAAACTTGATTTGGAACTGGCCAAGAAAAATCCAAAGCCCACCTGAACTTGCTCCTAAGGAACATCTGTGGCACAACAAAACACATGGAATGGATGGAATATGGAAGGGAAGAATTTCAGTCTGGGAGTTCCTTCAACCTTCCCACCAAGGACAATCATTGAGAGAGAAGACAAGGATGAGACAGGGAACCAAAACATCTAACACAGCCTTGGCAGGGTCAGTGGATTGTCCAGTACCTATAAAATTTCACTTCTTTGTGGTGAGCAACAGGTTCAAAAGCCTTTGAGTGAAAAAACAATTAAGGAGTCCTCCAACAATGAAACTGTGACATGGGAATTATCTCTGGGCATGATGGAAATAGGAATATTGAATATTCACTGTTTATTCTCCTTACAGTCCTCCCTTGCTGGGGGAAACCAAATCAAGCAAAATCCCAGAATTATTCTTTCTAAAAGAGGTGACAAGAAGGCTGGAGAGGGATGTTCACAATGGAGTGAAGACAAGGGGGAATGGCTTTAGGCTGTAGGAGGGAAGGGTTAGATCAGAAACTGCAGAGGAATTCTTGACTCTGAGGGTGGGGAGGCCCTGACACAAACTGCCCACAGTGCCCAAGGCCAGGCTGTTTGGAGCTCTGAGTAACCTGGGAGAGCAGAAGGTGCCCCTGCCTATGGCAAGGGCCAAGATTGTCTTTAGGGTCCCTTCCCACCCAAACCATTCTGTGAATTCCAGACAGTGTGCACAGGGCAGGTCAAGGTCAGTGTCTGAGTCTGAGCACTGAAGTCCAGAGATGTCTTTGTTTGCCCTTCCCCTCCTCTGTGTCAAGGCCTGTTTGTTGATATGAAAAAGGGGGCACAATGTGGAAGACAAAGTGTGAGGACTTGAGGCATTGAGGATGTCAGCAGCCACAGAGGAGATTCAGCATCCCCAAACCAACTCTCAGTGCAGACCAGTAATTAATGTCCACAGAAAACTGCATTGCTTGCTTTGTGCAAGGGACACAGAATTACTCAGTACAGGAAATGTGAAGAGGTCAGCAACTGCTTTTACCATATTCCTGCTCATTACCAAGCTGCCACAAGCTATGACATGTCCACACTGTGCTACAAAGTGACAATACCAGGAGTAAAATAACTGAACAATTTATACATTGCCATAGCAATGAGGCAGCTGTGTGACAGCAAAGGCACTCTAATAACATTGGAAATTAAACCTTGGTGTACTCACTTGACACTGTAGCACTGGAAGTGACTGTCTGGATACTGAGGCTGGTAAGGTTCCTGACCCAGCACTGTCCCAAACCACCAGGCATCGTCAATGATGGAGCGGAACCTGTCGGCTGCAGCAAACACAGACACTCTGCTGAGAGCAGCACTTCACTCTGGGGCTGCCACAGGCCATCACAAAAACTTCTGATAAATGTACTGCTTGATTCCTTTCCATAATTAAAGTTCTAGACTCACTGACACATAAGTCTGTTATTTAGCTTTAAAGTAAAAAGGGAGCAGAACAGTCTGGCTACATAAATACAGGGATTGTCTTTATTTACATCTACTGCAGTGCCTCCAAGGTTCAAATTTCTGACTCCTGACCCTACAAACACATGTAGCAATTAGCTAAGAACACATTTGTGATTTCAAAGCTGTTCAGTCCAGCACTCAGCCAACACTTACAGGCCTGCCAGTTCCTCTGCCGGGCTTCGTCATAGAATTGACGAAGGATGAGGAAGTCGATGACATCGGGCATGTCGTGGTATCTGGACAGAAAAAATCATCACTCACATGTGCCTCAGGGCTTTAGGAAGAAGAGAAATATATTCTTAACCACTTTTCAGGGAACTAAAACTGCACATACCTGATGGAAAATGATTTGTCTGTGTGTTTCCCAGTGGCGTGATCGATAAAGGCAAGCTTGAGGCAACACAACGTGGGAGGACCGACCTCGTATCTGATTCCAACAATTTTTACCAATTCCTGATCCTAAAGGTAACAACAAACAGCTTCAGCAAGTTTTGTCTTAGGGACCATGCACAGAGCTGTTAGTTTAACATGAATTAACCAGCAAAATGAGATTTGAGATTTCAATGGAAGGCAGTGGGTCAGCCTTAGGATTTTAACACAGATCTTTCATTTGGCTTCCCACAGGAAATTCTGCAGGCAATCTGGTGATTGCACACACCTTCCCCATAGGGATACATCAGCAACCTCCCAAATCCATGTTTTGCAAACAGAATGACAAAACTCCTCAGTCACAGACTGTTAGAAACCCAGAGAAGCTTCAGAGCAGACCTACCCTAAGCACCACTTTTCTCCAAGGCTCCTTGTGTGGATTCAGCTCATAAATGTTATTTCTCCTCACTGCTTCAATGTAAGCCTCGTGCCCTTGTCGGAAATAGATCACCTACAAAACACCCCAAGCAGCCCAAAGAGTGAATGTTTGCCTGAATTCAGAATCAGAACAATCCCAAGCACTGGGAGGTTTCAACCCTTGCTCCTACCTCGTCCCCCATCTGAGGGACAAAGGGGGACCTTCGCAGGGCCGTGTCCGTGATCCACACCGGGGGGTGCCACTCATAGGACAGCTCCAAGTTCAGTGGTTGTGCTGCAGCATCAGCCTTCAAAAATCAGACATGATGGACATGAATTCTAAACAAATCATTCCATTTTGGTTTGGCAGATAACAGATTAATTTATAAAGGACTAATCCACAGCATTTCCAAACAGTATCAGCAGAATTCCTCCAAGGCTTTGTTTGAGTTGTAGCTGTATTTGTAATTCTAATATTAAACATTCCTTTCCTATCTGGAGATTTGAGTGAGCAAGTCATTATTATGCAAGCCTTAGCAGAAAGTTTTATAATTTATATGACAGTCTCAGTATCCAATTAAAAATTATTCAAGCTGCAAGAAGCTGATTCTACTTAGATGGAAGTGAAAGGATAGAGAGAAAAACAGACCAAATGCATCAAAATTACCCCAGGCTAAAAAAAATAATTTGTTTGCTCCTTTATGAGAGAAAACAGCTAACAGTACTTAGTGTAAGTGAAGGTAATTAATTTAAATTAACTTAAAAAATTAGTTGCTTAAAATAGAATAATCATTGTAACTTATGAAAAAATTAAATACTCAATTATAAACTGCTACCAGCAATGCAGTTACTGTGTCCCCTATGCATTAAAACAGGCAAAAAACAAGACAGCTAAGTTACAGAACCACAGAATGAGGTCTCCTCCAACCCAAACCAAATATCATCTTATTCCATGCCCTGCCACAAGCACGGACTTCTTCCTCTATCCCAGGCTCCTCCAAGCCCTGTCCAAGCTGCCCTTGGACATTTCCAGGGGTAGGGCAGCATGTGCACAACATGGCCCAATGCCTCACCACCCCCAGAGGCAAGAATTCCTCCCTAATCCAATCTAATCTAACCTAACCCCACCCTCCGTCAGTTTAAAGCCTCTCCCATTGTTCTATCCCTTGGGAAAACTCTGATATTCTGTACTGATATTTATTAAACACATTTCTCCTTTAACAACATCAACCATGAGAACCCTTTTCACTGGGAAAATGAAAGCACCTTCACTGGGAATGCAGATCCTTCCCTACAAATCAGCAGATCCCCCACACTGGGAATGGTCTCAAACCAATCCCATGTTCCCTGTGTGTGTGACACAAAGACCCTTGGCTGATGGCAGTAACAATCATTTTAGCAGTTTCTAACCAAGACACCTAATCCCTACGAGTAAAATGAAGATTGTGCAGAAAAAAAAGTGTGGAAGTTCTGTGTCAGGACCCAGGACATTCCTCTGGCTGTCCTGGACTGCCAAGACCCTGCCAGGGGGCTCAGAGACCCTGGCACAGAGCCCAAAATGCCCCTGTGGGTTTGATTACAACCCATAGAGCAAGTTACCAACCTTAGATGAAGATCTGCAAACCATGACAAATTAAGCAGAATGATAGTGAATTTATCACAAGGTGAAAAAGCAGATTTTGGGGTTTTTAGAATGGGGGTTCAGGGGGGCAAGATGGAAGAATCTGGGTGTGTTCAGCCTTTCTCCTTTTTCTTCTTGCCCTCCATCTTCTGCTCTGATGTTGGCACTTTTAGATTGGTTTAGAGTAGAAGCTCACTGTCTAACATAGGTGACAGGTATTGGGAAGTAATTGTAAATATTGTACAGGTAGTTTTTAGTATAAAAAGATAACACTGGTCCAGGGGTAGGCAGAGTGCCTGGAGCTGTCTTGCTGAATGGACTTCAGCTGGACAGGAGAAAGAATTTTATAGATAAGATACAATAAACAACCTTGAGACTCAGAAATGAAGAGCTCCGACTGCTTCTTCAACTGCCAGGCTGGGAACAGAGACTTTCTAACATTCCTTGGGGTCACTCTGAGCAGTCAGAGGCCCCAACAGCCCTGGGGGCATCTCCTAAGCTACACTCCAGGCTCCTTGCCCTGTTCCTCTGTGTGAACAGAGGTGTTCCTGAGCCAGTCCCTCCCATTTCCTTTGCACTGGGCCCTGGATGGAAAGCTGAACCTTGAACGTGTGCGTGTGCTGAATTCAAGATCAGTGCATATCACACAAAAACCCTTTTTACTTCCTTACCCTGCACTTCAGCAGCAGCTACTCAACTTGCAACAAACAAAAACCGTACCTCCTCCTGCTTTTTAGGTTTGGGTTTTTTCCTCCTCTTCCTCCTCCTCCTCTTGGGAGGAGAGGATTTCTCGGCGGAGGCGTCGTCCTCGGAGGAGCTGCAGTAGCGCCGCGCGTTCCTGCGCGAGCCGCGCACCGGCGGCTGCAGGTTGATGCCGGCGTCCGCGATCCAGTCCGAGTACCTGCTCGAGGAATCGCTGTGAAACAGAAACACAAACACAAACTCAGCCCAGCTCCCACTGCTGCACAACTCAATTCACTCAGCAAAACACCAAACAGCAACTGTTTGACAACAACTTTGCCTCTCTTAGAACTATTACTTTACTCGAAGCTTGACATGAATTTTTGGGAGAATCCCGTAATTCAAAGCACATTGCTTTAAGCAACTAAAATATAGTGAATTCTAAAATCAGTAATTTTAGTCAAGAAATATATGCAGTGGAATTCTGGACTTATTAGGAGCCCTCCCTAAGGAACACATGAACCAAATGCTGCTCAAATTCTTTACACTTATCCAAATCTCAGCTACACATCCAGAGTGGATCTCTGAGTACCACCATTCTCTCTGAGTACCACCATTCCCTCTGAGTACCAGCATTCCCCCTGAGTACCACCATTCTCTCTGAATATTTTTTATTTCTAGCACTAAAGAATTCTAAAACAGGATCTAAAATAGCCACAAGGAAGTGATTAAAAACTTATCTATAACAGTTCTACATAAACTAGAAATTTTTAAAAATTTATATTTTTCAAAAATTTTTTAAGAGCAAGGAAAACAAAAAAAACGCCAAAAAATTCTCCAAACAAAATTGGGGGAAAAATTTCCAAAATGAAATCTTTCATCCCTCCAGATCAAAACACACTATAAAAATATTCCAGACTCTTATCCCTCTTTGCCATACAGCAAAAAACCAGAGAGACTTAGAGTTACATTAAAAAAATAGAAATGTTTTGGTGAAATGGAACAGTAAATAACAATATAATGTGTCAGTGAAGTATACAAATTCTACCTTATATTATTATTATTATTATTATTATTAAATTATCACCTCTGAAGCACAACAGAGCTTTCACACAACTCTTAATTTGTCAAAATTCAAGTAGAACTCATTATGGGATATGATTCTTCACTTTACCTAGAACTATTACTGTTGCTTTTCTTGTCACTTCTCCACTCTTCTTCTTCATCAGATGAACCAGAGCCCTCACTTTCTTCAGCTTCCTAAATTTAAAAATACAAACTTAAGCCAAATCCACGTTTTAAGGGTCTGAAACTTAAACACATGTTGTCCATATTATCAAATTTAAAGAAGTTTGGTAAAAAGTTAAGATGGAAGTAAAAATAATCAGGCCATGTAAAGTTCATAATAAAATCTGACAGGGAAGAATTTATATTACAAAAGGAACAGATCAAGAAAAACAATCACATCTTCTCTCCACATACAACAAGGGGATGTTCTGTCACTCCTATGATTTTTTTTCATTAGTTCTGCAAGTTGAGGGATTTTTTTCAGCCCCTCCTTTTAGTATTAAATGATTGGCCAAGTACTAATTAGAGTACTCATGCATGTATTTAAATGCAACATTAAATAGTAGAGATACACCAAAATACATTATGACTTTACTAATTTCCTGATTATTGTTCACCAACTATTTGCATGAATACAATGTTTTAAATGTGTTTTTCATAACTGAGTCAGTATGATACAATGCTCATGTGTCAAGTTGTATTTTGCCAAGCAAAAAAAATAAAAATAGAAGAGAAAATCCCATGAGATTTCAATTGTAGCTTCAAATGTTTGAATTAGTCCCAGTGATTGCTGAGAGTCCTCTCACTAAAACCTGCTCATACACTGTAATATCAAAGTGCAATACTCACTGAACTTTACATTCTATTTAAGGGATTTATTGTTTCTATACACTGAAATTCTTTATTAGGAGGTAAGGAGAGTCCATTCCCAAGAAATACCAGTGCTCATCTTATTTGCAAGATTTCCTAATCTCCTGAACATGTTCCCTTTTGTTCAGTGAAAGCTCCAAGTCTGAGCTTTTGGGCTCCTTCCACTTCTCCTTTTGCCAGTTTAGAATTATTTCCTTGTGGTTAAGGCAAGCCAAGGGCAGTCCTGTCACCCATTTACAATCTGATAACACATCAGACACAACAAAAAGCTCCTGCTGTCCACAAAGCCCTGTGTCACCTCAGGTCAGAGCAACAGGCCCTGTGGAGGAATCACATTTGCAAGAACCTTCAAAATTTCCATAGAAAAACATTGAAACCACATCTAAACTCCAAATGTCACCTGAAGCCAACCAAATGTCCATCAGATTTTTGACATGGGCTGTGGATTTGGTTTAGAATATTCTCAGCAAAACCAGTTGAGCCATTTATAAACTGACAGGAAATATTGTCTTTATTAAAGCAACACAACAGATTTGAGAAGTACCAACAATGATGATGCTTAAAGAAATACTTTCCCTGGGGTTTTTTCTTTGCTTGTTTAACAGAAAAAAGGCACATCTACCTGGAATTTCATTTATTGAGCAGCTCAAAATCAAAATAAAAACTCAGAGGAGAACTCACCTGCTCTATCAAGCCAAAGCAGTTGTCCCTCTCCTCCTCAGAGGACTCCAGCTGCTCGATGTTCTTCCGTGTTCTGTAGTTGGAATATTTCCGTCTGTGCAGTCGACGCTTGGACTGGATTAATGAGGACTCAGAGTCACTCTGATTTATAAGAAGGGAAAGGACAGGAGTTTAATAAAAATATATTTTAATAAAAAAAGATTTTGCTGAATGCAAATATTCAAACAGCATGATGAAGTTAAAACTCCCTTTCACAAGAAATAACTTTCAGGTAAGGCCAAAGTTTAACATTTGCTGTTACAAATTTAGGATTTATTAGCTGTTCTAAGAAATTCTTTATAAACTAGTGTGACAGCTTCATTCACATCACCTGATAAATGTATTTACAGAATCAAGACATATCTGCCTACAATGTGCAATTTTAAAAGCAGAGAATGGTTTGGGTTGGAAGGGACCTTTAAGATCATTTTGTTTCGAAACCCAGCTCCCCTCAGTAAAGGGGATCCTGCAGTAGAATTCTTCTGTCAAATTGTTTTGTACTCTAAGACACAGCAAATCAGGCAACAGGCTTCTAAAAACAGCACAATAACCAATGTTTCTTTCTTGCCAATCTCTCCCACATGACCAAAAAGGTGATAATAAAAAGCACTTGAAAAGAGGGAGGTCTGAAGAAGTTTCCCCCCACACAAAACATTGTTATCTAAAATAAAATGACAGGAACAGTAACACAACCTGAGATTGCTCAGGCACAGGACCTGAATGCTCTCAGTGCTTCAGCAGGACTTGCAGTAACTGAGCAACTGCAGCCAAACCAGAACAGCCTGAAAGCCACCCTGCCTGCAAAAATTACTCCCAGATACCTCACACAGAAGCAGGCAAGACTGAATGCAAAAAGAATTCCAGGTATCCATAAAAATAAACCAAGCCTTGTCCTGCAATAACTGGGAGCTGAATCACCAGAGTCCTTGGAAAGCCATTCCAGAACCTTCTGCTTTCATTTTCCACACCACCACTTGTCCTTGGGCACAGAGTGCTCACTTTTCCAGAAGCTGCCATTACCTTTTCCAGTGACTCAAGTGACTTTTTATTCTCTGTTGCATAGAGATCTCTCTCTTCTTCCCCTTTTGCAATCCGATATTCTTCCTGTTTCCTACAAGACAGACAAGAAAATGGAATTCTACACCTGTTTTGACAATGCTGGTCTCTTTAAGGATTCTCTCTCACATCCAATTCCATTTAATTTTTAATTTCAGATGTTATTGGTGCTCAATTAACTCTAAACCATCCTATCATTTCCAGGTAAGAGTAAAAAACATAGATGCTAAGAAAGTCTTCCTTCCCAACATCAAAATATAATAACCTACATTTTCAACCTTGTTTTTGATTCACATTTTTCCATTTGCAATCACTCCACCTCCCAACACTGGGAATGATTCTTAAAACCCTCAGAGATGTGGCAGCAGCTTTAAACAGAGATGTTCAGCTACTAATTCTCCTTTTCAGAGATCAATACTGATATACTTCTGATAGCAGCTGGTTCAGCATTTCAAGGGGCTGTAACTCATCACCTCCAAAAGTCTCACAGAGAGCACAATCCCACCCAACTCTTCCATGGAAATGAATTCAACCTGTATCTTTTATTTTGGAGGAAGCAAGAATCTAGGTGACCTAGCTGGCCTGGAGATGACTTCAAATATTGAAACGGGAGAATCATTCAACAGGACAACTTCCTTTTCTTCTCACTGAATGGACCTTACAATTATGAGTTTTTAGCATATCTGCCCACAACACTGAACTATTCCAACAGCATCCATTCTACCTTTGGTGTAACAGCTCTTAATTTGGACAAAGCAAGCTGCTGTGCTGTCC